TATATATATATATATATATATATACACCTAAATCCCCACGAATTGAGCGACAGAGTGTGCTGCTGCAGTACATAACGGAGAGAAAAGGGATCACACGCCTTCACAGCCCTTTTAGAAGCCATGATAGTGGGGGGAAGCCACGAAAAACAAACGACAAAAAAGGCCGTACTGTCGCCAATACGGCCTTATTACTTCTCCCACATCTCGCTTCCCCCTTTCCCTATATCTCTTTCCCGCACGCCACTTCCTCGCGGCGCGCTATATACAGCCACGCACACACAGGATGCGACGCTCACTCATTCACCTTTCTTCGCACAGTATAACTGCCACTACTCTCACCACCGTCACACACACACACACACACAAAGAGAAGGGCGGTGGTGACGCGAGAAGCGGCCAGCCAGGTAGAGAGGCAAACAATAAGGAGACACAAGAAAAAAAAAAGTATGTGCTCCTGGTAAACCCGGAAGCAAACTCACCATAGAATTCTTATCAGTCTCATATTCTCGCGTTCCCTCTCACTCACTCTTCCCATATATTCCTCCTTGTCTCCCCCTTTTTTTGTTATAACTGTGTACAAATTTCCCATACACGCCCTCCTCCTCTTTGGAAGTGTTCATTTCATTCCGTTGACTTGAGCACCTCCCACTTTTAAAACCTGTTTTGTCTTCCTGATATGCTCCCTCTGAGTATCCCCTCTGTCTTGGGGTTTCTTCACGCTGCTGCTAACACATTTTCTTATCCCGTAAGTACTACTAATAGTAGCATTAGTAGTGTGTGTGTGTGTGTGTGTGTAGATATGTATGTATGTGTGTGCATACAACCAAGCAGGTGGATGTTTCCATGTCTGTGTGTTCGTGTGCTCCTTCACCGGAAGGTAGAGAGCCGCTCAGTTCACCTGTTGCGCCGCGTATGCGGCTCGTCGTAGAGCCCACCCGCGTCCCACTGCGGCACAAGTATCTCGGAGACCATGTATGACAGCGGCACCGGCGGCCACATCGCCTTCCCCACCGGCTCCTCAATGGAGCTCAGAATGAGACTGTCGTCGAGGTCCCTCAGGTCGGTGGCGGGTAAAATCGCCTGCGGTGTCGCCTCTTTCCGCCATGCCGCCCGGAGCGCTAGGAAGTATTCCATGCCAACAGGAATATCCGTCACCGGTGGCACATCGCCACTATCATCATCATCATTATTACTCCTCCTCGTTGCAACAGCAGCCGCTGCTGTGTTGGTGGGCGGAAGGCTGTGCACAATCGCAGTCGTGCGGTTCTCCGGGAACGTTGCCGCGGCACATGTGAGTCGGACGTGCGGCGACGTACCGGCGATACCGCGCTGCTGCTTGCGGCGCCCCTCCTGCCAATCACTTGTGAGTGCCGACTCCGTCGCTGACAGCCACGAGCAGCGGGTGTGGGCAGTCTCAGCAGCAGCAAGCGGCGTCGGCTCCATGTCAACCGGCTCAGTTGGGATCATCTCCAGCGGGCATCCCCCTCCCCGATGGGTGCGCGTGGCGTTGCTGTCGCCTCGATTCGTCGTCATTGTGCAAGAGGAGCTCTTCTGCCCCATGAATCTGCAGAGTGTTGCGCAATTTCGCACTCGCCCGCTCAGCCACACACACACACACGCGCGCACACACAGACGCTTTCTTCACCTTCCCTCCGTCTTTCAGTACTGCTGCCGCCGTTACTCGTGAAGCGGTGGGGCGTGGAAGACGAAGAGGAGGGGGAAGGAAGTCGGAACGCGATGACTCTCCTTGTGCAGGTGAGGAAGGAGAGGAGCAAAAAAAAAGAAAGAAACAACTCGCAGTGCGCAGCCTAAAGAAATAAAAGAGAATGAAGCAAACAAAAAAAAGGTTAAAATATATAAATGCATCTGTCGCCACCGTAGCATGAAGCAATCCCACAGGGGAATTGAGCAGAGGGCAAAAGAAATAGGGGGCAACACGACGCAGAAACAGATACAGTGCACGTGTTAAGGTGTAGAGAATACGCTGTCTGGCAGCCGCAACAGATTCTTCTGGCACAGAAGCTCATGCACCATCACGTGGCGAAGCGCCGTCACATCGATCTGCGTAAATGCCATGGCAACACCATGCACCGCACACCACGCCGCATGGCAAACAAAAGCGCCACAGTCGTAGAAGTTTTCTTGCTGAGGGGCGACAGAGAAGCCGTCCGCGTCGGAGGAGTCCCTCCCACACAGCTGCGGCTGCGCCACCACAAGCCCCCAGTCATCATCCCCCTCACAAGCGTCGTCATCCTTCTTGTTGCTGTTGTTTTCGCCGCCGCTGCCGCCGCAAAGAAGACGCCGGGCCTCAGTGAAGGCGTGTGCCAGCTGCCGCAGAACTGCCCTGCCACGCGAAGTTGCCGCCTCTCCGTGGATGTAACTATCGTAGTACACCCACCTGCGGTTCTCCCAGTCGAGCACCGCCAGCGCCCAGTGCGTCTGGGACAAGTTCACGGGAACGAGAACGATGCGTGTCGTGCCAGGGAGCAGAATGTGCCGGCGCCGCTTCAGCCAGCGAAGCACACCACTGCTGGCCTGAAGGGGCGGCAGCTTCGACGTCCCTCCCCGCAGCTCCTGCAGAACCTTGGCGAAGAAGTGCGTCCCCAAGGAAAGTGTCGCATCCGCCCCAACGCGTGTGTTGTACTCGTCGCACACCATGCTCAGATAGGCGTTAATCACCTGGTCGTTGAGCCACTGCCCCGGACCCAGCGTGGCGAGCTGCTGGTACGTAAGCAACAGGCCATTTTTGAATGTCACTGCCGCGTCATTAAGGTGGTCACCACCGTCTCTCGTGCTACTGCTGCTGTTTCCACCATACCGCATTGCTCTACCATAGAGCTGCTCGTCCTCCGCGTCTGCTGTCAGCTTAGTCAGTACAGCTGCTCTGTTTTGTTCAATATGGCGGTGGATGCCCTTTGACAGTGGCATCTCTGGCGACACATCGCGCTTCGCACTCGCAATTTCCTCAAGGAGAACCTCCAACATCCAACGATCCAGGGCCCGCACGGCAGCACCCTCCACGCGCTGATGATATGCCATCACCTCCCGCTCCACCACCTCTCCGCACACACTGGTCATAATATCCTCGTAGGCATCACGCACACAGCGCTCCCCCAGTGCATCCGCGAGCTGCAGGAGGTTCACACCTCCTCGGTATGCTTGCCCATCTTGTGGTGACTGCGACTTGTACAGCGTCACGTCCCACGGGCTGCAAGAGTCCATCCCCACAAAACTACCGTCGCCGCCTTCGCCGCATCGCAGCAGTGACCCCACTTCGCGTATGCGAAGAGCCAACAGATGTGCCTCTCGTTCACTAGGCATTTTGGAGCTCGTACATTTTGGAGCTCGTACATGGCGGGGTATCGTCAGCATCACCATCATCAACAGCAGCAGCAGTAACAAAAGAAACAGGAGAAAATCCCAGTTGGCTAATGGAAGTTTCCTCTGTCGGTTTCTTTGGTTGCGGCGTCCTCGACGGCGTGAAGAGTACCTTGGCCTCAACCGCATCTTCCTCCGCAGCACTCGACTGCTGGTGCTGATGTTTCAGTTGCAACGGCAATTCCCACTGCGAGAGAGCTGCCGACATGACGCGCCGCCGCATGTCGTCCTCTGAGAGCGGCGGTGGTGGCTGCGTGCGGGAGCGGCGGCGCCCCGTGACGGGACGGCAGTTCCGCCGCATCGCGTGCAACCGTGCCGGTGAGACCCCTGCCGACGACCATGAGGCAGA